AATTATAACGGTATTTTTTTAGCGTATATGTAAATCCAATTAATATTTGTAAAGGAGATGTATCGATGAGTATCGAATTAGATGAAACGATGAGCTGTATGAGCTATATCACGACATTGATATAGTTAAGCGCATAAATATTCATCGGCTTCGCTGGTTTGATCATGTTGTGCGAATGGAAGAAAGTGCTCTGACTAAAAAGGTGTTTGATTTGATACACGCACATGGAAACCGCGGTGTAGAAAGCCCGCATCTTCGATGGAAGGACCAGGTGATCAACGATTTGGAGGCACTCGGTACTATCAACTGGCAACAGCCATCAACTAATCGGACTAGCTGGCGGAGGCTACTCAGCGCAGCCACGGAGGACTAATTTCTTTAATGGCCAACCAAGTAAGTAAGTAAGATGTCATACATAGGTATATGTTCTATCTCTATACAAACACGTATAGACAATGATATTTAATACTTAAACGATCGATATCGCATATGGCAAAATATATCTTAATATGATATAGACTTACAAGCATTTCCACAAGATTCTACAAAATGAAATTTTTGCGTTTTTAACAATCATTTGACAATGCAATTACAATCCAAAAATTTTTGTAAGTTTAGTTATCTTTAAAGAATACATATATGTAATATATCAATAAATACTTTTAAGTGAGGGAATACTAAATGAACTTTAACTATTGTAATAAATATCTCCATTACTTTGTTTATATTGCTGGATACAGTTTACATCTGCCACAATTTATAGTATTATATAGACATTTTATTGGCACATGTATCTCAGACATTAGATCCATACTATTAAAGTATTTTTTTACTTGGAGAGAAACAATTTATATATTTGAATAATTCCCACATTCGCCACTAGTGGGGTGCACTATTATGTTCTTGCACTATTAACAATAATATAAAGACAAGCGATTAAGAAAGTGGTTTGTACTATATTTCATAATGATGATGATGATATAAGTAAATCGTTATTATTTTAAAATAATTCACAACTTTTTAAAATTAAATTTTTTTTTTAAATACAATATTACATTCATATACAAATTACTTTTCGGGCTCGCAGATTAACTCCATCACTAACTATATGTGGTCCTATATTAACCATATCATAGGTTATGATCATATATGAGCATTCTTCTATATCATATTCTTTATAACTTAAATTGTTTCTGATTCAAAGAGGTATATCCCTTTTAAACTTTATAAATATTTAAGAACTGGAAACTTTAATTTTTTTTGCAAATATTTATTAGGGAAATCGCTGAGATTTTGAATTTTGATGGTTTAAATTCAGAGTTAACCCAACTTAATTGGTACAGCAGTTTTTTATTTATTCAAAACAATTTAGTCCTTTTCATTTTTATTTTCAGATATATAATAAAAAATTATGGATCTAAGGACTCGTTTGGGTTTTGTTTTACCAGAATCGGTTCGTTATCGTCTCAATGGAACCAAGTCATTATTATTATACAATTTGTGTTTTATGTTGTCATGAATCATTGTTTCCTATAACAGTTTATGAAAAATATTCACCGTGTAAGTTACAATTGTGAGTGCAACCCAAAGTTGCATTCCATTTTTGTGAATGCAACTCAAAGTTGAAACTTTGTTCTGTAAAGTTTTGGAACTACAGTGTTTGAGAGTTAAAATTTCCCAATTTCTGTCAACTTTAGCAAAAGCTGATGTTTTCAGTACATGCAGCTATTTTATTGAGAAGTCAGCAATTGTAATTGTTTTAAAAATTTTAAAGATGCTTTGCCCAGATATAATTTGGCTTCTTCTTATACTCCAAAAGTACCTAAGTAATGAACAAGACTTCATTTAGAAAACTTAAATTTCTTACTTACAATTTTCGTCAAAATTACGTTTTATATCCAGTAAACAGGGGGGAAAATGTAAAAGGAGCTTAGTATTTGTAATTACAAATTTATCTAAGGTAGGTAAGGACGCACAAGCGTTAAGTGTATTGGGTTATGGGCATCTATCTACAGAGCGTTATGTAAGTGGGGTTAGGGGTTTGTTACTACTCTGTGAAATGGGTTACGATATCCGCGTTTGTAGAGTGTAATGGAGTAATTTGAGATCGAGCTATCTTTTCGAAGTAAAGTGCTAAGGGTTAATATCTTCTATCTCTCTATTTGCCTTCTATTAATCTTACTACTTGCAGTTTGTATGTTGTTTATTTGTAGGTCGTTTATTTCTTTATTTTTTGTCGGGTTCAGCATAACTCTTCTTCTAGAATTTGAGTCATATAATGATATGCACTAGCTTTTGAAAATTTAACTTCCAAAGTGATCAGTGCATAAACAACATTCAATGAAAAACCAAAACTTCCATTCTAATAAAAAAGGACCAATCTAAAAATATATAATCTTACATGTGTCTCAAAAAATAGAATGGTTCAGTTTTCATTTGAATATGCAGAGTTCTACGTTTTCTAATTCCAAAATAGAACGTTAATAAAACACACTTGTTATTGAAATTTCAGTTATATTTTTATATCCACATATCATTTGCTGCTTAAAATGTCTTTGATATGATATCTTCCACTACAGGATCCCTAATATATGTTAAATTAAAATTCGTTTTAATTATAACTTAAAACAGATGTTCAATTTTAAAACGTTAAAAATTTAAGTATTGCCCATTTAAACGTAACTCTTTGGGTAATCTCACAAAAAAAAAAGTCAGATGGTGACAAATCGCATGGTCCTGGTCACGAAATCAGATAACCATAATGACAATTATGTAATGATACTTTTAAAGATTTCTCGCTTCACAAAATCGAATCAGGTCATATTCTATGGCTTATGGTGCCAGTGGGTTGAAACCGTTTTCACACTATTCATATCTTTAATTTTGTATCAAGAAAAAAAATTGATAACCATTTGTTTATCAAGCCTCTTCACTGAACCACAAAGGTATTTAACTTCCTATGTGAGGGAAGCTATAGAATAAATTGATGCACTTATGCGCTTAGAGCAGTATTTTAATATAGATGACAGTCACACAATAGGTCCATTCCTTTAATCTCAGTGAATATGATTTACACACGTAGGTGATGAAAATAAATTAATGAATCACATTTCTTAAAAAGAATTATTTTACATCTACTTATAGTAAGGCACTAATAAAAAAAATTAGGAAATGTATTACAATTATAATTATTCCTACAATTCTTTTTCAAAATTTTGCCCTATTTTATTTGCATACATCTATTCGAGTCTTTAATGTATTTTAAAATATTCTTCTTAACCAAATATATCAGGCACTTTAGACCCAACAACTTTAAAGATATGCAACAATGATTTTAGGCTAGAATAATTCAGCTATATTAAAATGTACACTATACGTAAATATAAATTTTCTTATATAAAATATGATATTCAAACAATATGAGAATTATAATTATATTACAGGATAAAAACAGATAAAAGTTTTATTCTGTGTTGAATCAGTGTTCATATATATATTATCCAAACATCACAATTTCTAAGCATAAGAATTCTTAAGCCATGGTAAATGAGACCGCCATACTTCAATGTTATAAGTATATTAAAATTTACACTAAATTTTAAGTACATATTTCTTATGTAGAAAATATAATTCAAACAATATGAGAATTGTAATTATGTGTGAGACCTATAACATCTACCGCGCCATTGCTGAAAAGGAATTTCTAATTTAACCTTGATATATTACGGTTATTGATAATGCTAATTCGACCTCATTTATTAAAATTTGTAAGCAGTTACTGCATTTTTTTTTGACAATTATAGTCAAATGTGTCTAATTAGTTTAAATTGTAAGGCTGGAGTGGAAATACACTCTTTTAGTAGAGACATTGTTGGATGATCAGATTTTTAAGTATTGTAGTAAATAAATTTTTGGCAAGACATCTGTAGCATTACGTATGCAAACAGATATATGACGTTCAGCATGACGTTCAGAATGCAGCTGAACGTCAATATGTCAAATAAAAATTTGTAAAAAGATATAAAAATGGGACACATTTTCCTCTTTGCAGCCTCGGTTTTGAGTAGTAGTATAGGCCTATCTTTAATTTTTCGAATCACTAAAATTCTAAAAAAATTATTGGTACGAATTTGTTTGTTTTTAAAAATTTATTTAAAAGTCTGACTAAAATTTGCACAGTACTTTTTTGTTGAGGGAGCGTTTTCATTATTGTCCTTATAAATCTTTTCAGAATTATATATTATATTTAATAATAAATTAAATAAAAAGCAATCGACCTTTTAGGGAACAAAAGTTAGTAGAGATAAAAGCAACATTTAAAATAATTACAAATGGTAAACATAATTCCACGCTCAGTTTTTTATCTGAATAATAAAATGTCCATATAGGTTATATTCTAAAAATAAAAAAAAATTCCTGAGCATAGTCAGCCAATACTGGCCAGCTGAACCCCATTGTCAGATATCTAGATTGATTTCGTCTAATTTAGACAAGAAACGCACTAGTCAGCTACTTCAACTAAGGCGGAACCTGCTCAGCAACACGGTATCTGTGCTGACGGGCCACTGCCGAAATAGGAAGGCATGCTATGAGACTGGATCTACCCTCTAATTATTTTTGTCGAGGATATGGCTCTGAGAATGAGAATAACATGTGCTCCATCTCATATGTCAGTGCCCTTCTTTAGCTAGGAGAAGTACAAAAATATTCGGGGCCCTTTTTCTCATCGACCTCACCTGACTAAGCTGTCTTTCTGTAATATTAGGGAGCTGACCTAGAACTGTCAGATTGGTTTGCCTGTACCTAATGGAGGAATCATTAAATTAAAAAACTAAAATTTATCTGCACAAAAGTATTATTTATTCCATCAAGCCGTCGAGTGGTATCAATCCATTTTTCAATAAAGTGTTTTCGAATTAGTTAGTTTTGACTACCGCCAGTAAAATATTGACGGTATAATAATATATTATATATAAATATATAATATATATTTATGTTGGTAAATAAAAGTTGATTTGGATATTTGTCCACATATGAAATGGTCGAAGTATTCTTGGTCGTGGTGTGATATTATTTATAAAAATCAAATTGACTTCTGGAATCTCGTCTTAGTGTTCCCGATTCCTGATTAGAGGTAGAATTTCTTTGCGGGTTTGAACTATTATTTGCCTGTGAATTATTTGGATCGGTATTTTCATTTGCAGGGCTCTGACTTACACGAGCAGGCCTACTGTCTTTAGTGACCTGTAATAAAAAACGTTTATATAAGAATATAATATACTAAATCTTTCAACTTACCGGCTCTACAATTTCCTCGCAGTAGCGTTTAACTATCGTAACAACACTCGGAACCGCTTCCGTAATATTATCTTTTCTAATGTCGTCAACTGTTGTTTCATGATTTAGTAATATATTCGATACTTCTCTATTGTTCACATTAAGCAAATTAATTACCATTCCATTTGCATTTACATGTGCAATCAGTAAATTTAATTGATTCCTATAAAGGTATCGTATTGCATACTTTGCTGAACTAGAATTCCAATCAGTGGGTAACCATATAGAGCCAACCTCATCACTTGCAAATGTTTTCTAATTAAGAGAAACAAAAATATATATGAAATATTTATAAGATTTTGTAACATTGATGATGTTATGACGTTACTTCTTCGCCAACTCCTATACATCGGAAATCTTTACTAATTAGCACAAAATGAAGCTGTAAAATATAATTAATTTAATATTTCAGTCCATTAAAATATTCGTTTTTTTTTTAAAGAAGAGAACTCACAAGACAAATTAGTAAGTCTGATTTTGTGTTGAGATTGGCCCTAATCGAAAGAGTTCGCCAATTGAAAACATCACCGGTCTGGGTTTGACCTAGTAAAGATTCTATCAATTCATTTGAGCTGTCCATAATTGCTCTAATTTGATACCACGTTAGCGAGCGGAGGTACTTCTATGTATGTACCTTTTGTGCAGAATAAATTTTGACCGACAAACTAATGAAAATAAAAAAAAATTGGATTAAGAACTAAAATTAAATCTATATTCAAATAATAAAAATAATTTTGAAATTTATAATGCAATGAAAACAAGATTTTTAAATTTTAATTAAAGGAATGCATATTTCTAACTTATTTAATTCTCTTCTTTAGCTAAGAATACTTAAACTTGATCTTAAACTTCCAAAACTTATATTATAAAAGTATTGATTGTTATATATGAAGTTCATTAAAAGCTTCAGCATAATATTATATATATGATACTTCATTTTTACAATGAATAAATAGCTTGTTTTATAGTACGATTTTGGGAAAACATACGCTATAGACAAAACCTTTAATAATGTGGGTTTGAACAGAAATCATGTAATTTTTCATACATTAATATGAAAGGGAGGCCAAGATTCAACTAGGATCGTTGCGCCATTAATGATGATGAATATGAAACACTTTTCACTTCGTCCAAAAGAGAAGTGCTTGGCTTCTCAATGGTTCGTTTTTAATTAAAATACATATATAGTTTCTATAGGTCCAATACTTATTCAGATCTCACTAGTACTAGCAGATTTCACTGTTCTGCTGAAACTCTAAAGTTTTGTTTTCAAAAAAACTGATTCAAGTCATCTATACATTTTCATTTGACTTAAAGGATCGCAATTGTACCTTTTTAATTAAAACACATATATATTTTCTATAGGTCCAATACTTGTTCAAATCTCACTAGCACTAGCATGCTAACATACAATAGTGTTAAAACTTATAGTTTTTGCTTGCAAAAAACAGACGCAAGTCATTTTGACAACTTCATTTGTCATAAAGCTTTTGCCATCTAACTAATTCAGTAAATACGGAACAAACAAATATTATCAAGATGCCAGTTCTGGAGAATATTGAGTAATACATTCCTTCCACATTTTATCCAAACTTATTAGAAGTCTCGGAATATTCTTGCAAAAGGCTATAGTTTTTCTATAGATCAATCGTGATCTTTTCTGTTTAAATGCAATGTCCAATTTGTCTAATTAAAAATATATAGTATACTTCAAAATGGATTGTGGTCTTGTTTGATATAAGTTGAAACAAATGACGTCAGTGGCTTTTTAAGTTTATGATTTCTTTTCCTCTGCAGATATATTTATGGTGGTGAAATTCGGTGATTTCCATCAATCGATGCATTAATTTGGTCTTAATAATTTTAAAATGGAGCTCCAGAATATGATGCATTTTCAATTTCAATATTGTCAGAATTAAATCTTATGAATCAGTTTTAGGACTGGTGCTCTGTGTATACAGAGGTAGGGACAAATTATTTTATACTTATTATAAATAATTTGTAATTTTCTTCTACACTATCTTTACGGTTTTGATAATGCAAATATATAGATTAACAAAAATTTCTAAAACTATTATTAGACCAAAAAAAAATTTTTTATTATGTAGTCTAGTGAATTGAAGAAAAAACACATGTCTTGGTTGAGGAACATCCGATACTGGATTGGGTTAAGAAATATTGCAGAGTTGGTACATATTGCAAGATACAGAGAGAACTCCAAAAACATTATTTCTAACATATTGTAGTTTATATGATTAATTAACATTCAATTTTTGAATAAACAATTAAAAAAGAAGACAAATAAATGATATGATTTCTTAGCCTAGTTAAAGCCTAGTGTGGGGTAGAGATAAGTCCCCCAGCCATTATAGAATAAAAGTGCGTTATAGCACTAACTTAAGAAGAAGAATCAAGAAGTCAAGAAGAAGAAGTCTAATTATGTCACCTGCCAAAACATATATGTTTAGTAGAAGTACACTGTAAAATGTAAACTGTAAAAAAATGAAATTACTTTCCGAGCACCCAATATAGGTAATATATTTCAGGATACCATAAAAATCATAGTTTAATCTTATTGAAATAGGAATCAATTTAAATAACATGAAAGGTTCGATATAAAAAATATCGATACTTTTATGGTTAAATATATTTTTTGTGTTAATTTTTTTCCAATACCAAGTATTTTACTTCATACTTGAAGTATTCGCCACCCACTTTCATCCCATACGTTTAAGTTTATTCAACCAAGAAATTATTTTTTATTGATTTCTCCAATACAAAGGTTTTATATACTAAATACTAAATATATCATGCAGTAAAAAATTTGCCAGTATATTGAAAGATATTTTTATTATATTGATGGATACTCAAATACGCTAGTCCAGACTTTTTTAAATCTTTGGCAGCCTGACACTTATTCATGTTCTAACAGACCTTTTCAAAACATTTAAAATTGCTAAGCATTATTTACAACTGCACATATAGAGAGAAGTGCAGTACTGTAAATATTGTAATCAGTAAATATTGTAATTCGAGCCGTAGCGTTGCGGCAGGACCTCTACATATACAATGTTCTTAAAATGTTGACTATAAAATTACCAGATTTTTTGTCTTAATTGAGACGATTAAAGAACCTCTATTAGTAGATACTGTTTGTGCCACTAGAATGATATAGGTTATTCGTAGATGCTATAAGTGAAGCATACTAACCTCTTACACCCTTAATAAGATATTGAAAGTTGTTTTTTTGTAGAATTGTGAATTTATTTCAACTACAAGATATTAAAATAAATTCTCAAAATATATATATAAATGTATATCTTATCACATGTTGAGACCTTAATTTTATTTCAACTTTGATATTAAAAAAAATTTTCAAAATATATATAAAAATATATATCATTTTTTGACATGTTGGAGACCTCGTTAATTTCATAATTTGGACCTTTAATACAATCAAATTATGATTGAGTAACTGGTAATGCTTATTAGGAGCTAAGTTGTTAAAGGAACGTCTTCCTCAATAGAACTATTGTCTACGCTTTTATCCTGAGTCCTGTTTGCTTTAAACTTATCCAGACAATGTTGGTTCTGCGAATAAAATATAAAACAAATAAATATAATTTATTTTGTTTTTCTCCATAATCACCTCTGATAAAAAGTATGCTTCTTCGGCGCAATTCTTATGTTTGTTGTGACAAGATCCGCGCAACCATTGACCTGGAATTGATTTACTAACAGCTTCCTCGAGTTCTTCTGTAGGGCAATCATACTTTTTGTCCATTGAAGGTAAGCCATGAATACGTATATTATCTAATTGTTGCTTATCCTTCTCGGCAAAGTAACGTTCCTCATCCCTACAGCCACGGCACTTGTTGAAACCACCAGCAAACAGGTACAGCTTTGTGTTGCAAGCATTACTGCAAGTAAGAAAATTTTAACAGATACTGATATTAAAGATAACGCATCATACCCAGTTACAAAGGTCCTTGTGAAATGTACGAGCAATTTGAACATAATGTATAATCTTATGAAAATATATTCAAATTAATGTATAAATTTTGTTTGTGGAATAAAACCTCTTCGATAAAAAATATACAATTACAAGATATGGTAAGAATATTTATAATGTCCAGTAAAAAAAATTAATGTAAACTTAAAGTTATCATTTAAATTCAAATTTCAATGATATATATGATTACAAATTTAATATTGTACTTCATAAGTATACCTACTTTGTCAAATAAGTATTAGCTAAAGCATTTTACTCAACTTATATAGTTATGACAATATATAGGTATATATATATCTCAATTGTTTTTTCTTTGTTTTTGTGCGGAGAGGACGTTTAAAAAGCGTAGCGCATCGTCACTATACCGTGATATGCTTGGTTTACATAAAACCAATACTCATCGTGTGCTAGAACGTTTCAACCCTGGAACTTTATCGGGAATACTTCAAGGTAAGGTCTTTGTGTTAATTATGCATTTTCTTCGTTAGCCTGTGTTCAACCCTCGCTTAAGTTTATTTATCTCTTTGTTAAAGTAGTAATTTTCAAGATCTTATTTTATCAGTTTGAGTATGATCGTAACGAATTGGTCTATGACTGTCCAGTTTTCTTCAGATAGCATTATCTTCGTGACTATATATTCGACGTTTATTTCACCGACTATTATTTTAAGTGATGTTCTTTCGGTGTTCCATCTGTTGTATTTGAAGATGATATATTCAGCGTTGTCTTCTCCGTATATGCATTTCGTATCATTTGCTTTGCCGATGTAAAAAATGTGTTTTTTACAATATCCATGTCCAGAAAAGAATTTTGTTAGATAATAGTTTACTTCGCCAGTTTTTCTATCGAACCATTCGCTACATCTGGAATCAATCTCGCTGTTCATTTTTTTTCTGTTTCTTCATTCTATCTTTGTTGTCACAATTGTTGGATCTATTGTTCTATTATTAGATCATTTAACATTGTGATTTATTGCTGCTTTATTTGCCATCTTGTGTTCCTTTCTTTGGCTGTTTGATCTATATGTAATCTACCACAGATGACCAGCACCGTGACTTTAATTACGTAACGTTATGCTGAAGCAACTCTGAGAGCTGCCGTTCATTGTACTGATGTTATTACCTTACGTTTCGGTTCTACTTTCAGTGAATCAACCAAATAGTTTTTATATAGTAGGAAAGAGTAACATAGGACTGTTTCGTATATTTAATAAGCGCATTTTTAATAGTTGCTTTTGTGAACTCTGAATTAGGTAAACATTTTTTTATATGTTTTTCCAACGTTAGTAAGTGAATAAAGTTCTTAAATGTGGACTAAAAATTTTTAACTGATTAGTTTACGCACTCAAGCGAACACTTTTTACTAACTGTCTTGTAAAAATTAAATAATTATTAAATATTTATTTAAGTAATCACTATGTTAGCATGCTAAATATAATAGATAACAAATTCAAAAAAAATTTGAAATTTGAAAAAATTGTATAATGCAGACAGTAGCGCAAGCTATGGTAATCATATTAATTGTTTGTGTAGAATGTGCAACATGGTTGGTGATAATGACTGTCATGAACTCTATGGTATTCCATGACTTTTTGAATTCATATATTATATGTGATAAATGTAATGTGCCAAAGAAATTATTTGCATTAGTTTATATGTGAAGTGTAAGTTTCACTTTATTTTTATCGTAAAGATAAAGAAAAATAGTTTTATATAATAATTGGAATTTAAACAAGTATTAAATAAGTATTATACTACAAAAATGTAATTCAGTGCAACACAATATGCTTAAAACTCATACAAAAAAAGATAACCGAAACAGCTCGTCGGAGCGATAAATAAAACCGACCGACAATATAGTGGTTTATATTCGTTAGTCTTTTTACAGTTCGGTACCCCTTTATATATTTGTACACTCCTGTGAATTTTTTGAAAACTTGATTATTGAACGTTAAAAGTTGAAAACTCGTTTTTATTTATAATCTTTTTAAATTTTATTGTTTTATTAAATAATTTTGTTAACTCTGCTTCTTCAATAAAATAAATTTTGAAGAATAACGTTATAACAAATAAAGGAGTTATTAATATATTTCTAAAATATATTGACACAAAACTGAACCACTGGCACTGCAGTGTCAAAGAAGAAGTAGTACTATAGTACAGTGTAGGGTGTTACGGAGATCTGTGTTTATATCAAATATGGGGGAAAGGTTCTAATCAAATGAGTGTGAAAAATGATCACGCAGCTGAGTGAGATTCCGCCACGTGATCGCTAGTAGTTACTTTTCACGATCAGTATATTTAGCTTTAACTTAAGTTAGGGAATTGAAAATATATTTGCTGTTAGGCTTGTGCTTATTATTAATAGAGCCGCAAAAGGACTTGAAGGACTCAAAAAAATGAAATTCTGCGCTTAATTCAAATAGGCTAGGCTTATGTGAAAGGAAATTGTATAATTATTCCGTTAAGTTGATAATGGCTGCAAAGAAAAGTATTTGTGAAAGTATATTTATCGATGTCATATGTAATAGTTTTAAATTAATTATAGTTCAATTGGGTCACTCTGTTTATTTTTTATCCAAAAACGTATGACATTATTTCTTTAAATTTTTTTTTAGATTTTTTTGCATAGTCATATAAATATATTATAAATATAGAGCTGTTATTTTCCTGAAAGTTTTGGAATTTTGAGTTACATTTCCTTGTGTATAAATGTTGTGATCACATGTCTAAAATGTGTATTTCCTGTTTGTGATGACATTTTTTCAATTCGATAGATGATTATTGAAGGGACTTGTGTTTAAGTAAAAATTTTAAATACTATATTATTTTTGTTTTAAAATTTATTTCACTTAATTTCAATTCTTTTGTTAATGTAGTTATATTTTTATTATTGTTAGCTGTTGTGCTAGTCTGCACATTTTCTAAAAAAAATTTAATGCCAACGATACTTTTTATCAGTGCAAGTTACCGACGGTGAAACAGATATTCATTACAGCCGTTATCTGAAACAACAGTTATCCTTACAATAATGCACAAGCTTATCTATGTAAGTTCTTACAAATTTATGTGCAGGCAATCAGTTATATAAACAAACTACATATTTATTCAATATAAATGTCAGAGCACACAAATACAATGCATTCACACCGAACCAACACGTTTACCGGCAACAACACTAACACTAACACTAGCATCAAGCCAACACCAACAACAACAACAACACCAGCACCAATACCAATACCAAAACCAATGCCAACGCCAACGCCAAAACAGTACCAATACCAACACCAACATCAACACCAACACCAACACTAACACTATTACCAACGGCAACACCGACACTCATGCAAAAAACGTTAAAACTCTTTTTGTTTATCTTACTTGCCATATCGCTGCAAATGAATGGAAAGGTTCTTTCCTAGATAAGCACAGTGTGATATGTTGCAACTACAATAAAAAGAAGGAGTACAAAACAAAATTTAGGGTGACTGTGGATGCGCTTCTGCCTGTGCCTGTGCCTTTGCCCGTACTCGTACCCGTACCCGTACCCGCACCCGTGCCTGAGTTGTGGCTGTGCTTATGAGTATGACTTTGACTGCTCTTATGACACTTATTACTTTGAAAATGCATAGCACCGGTAGTAGCAGCACTTAAAACACAAGACATTAAAATGATTTTTGTGTAGGAGAACAGGCAAAATACAGTGACAAGTGAAATTTTGCACCCTCTTATCGACTGATAAAACACTGTACCCCTGCCCTTGTTGCAATTTTCAACGATGTATATTGAAATGATAGGGGTTTAAGTAGCTTTACTAGTTTTAAATTGTTCTATTAAAAATATAATGTACTAATGTTTGTGCTGTCTTTTCTAAACGCGGGAAACGATACTACAGCTTTCAACCATTGTGGACTTTATCACTTTATTAATATCTTCAGCTACTTTAGATAACATATCTTAGTTAAAATTTATTTTAGAACTTCTTAAGTCGGTTCAAAAAGAAAACCTGACTACTTAAAAGTATTCTAAAATTCAATCTTAACTGCATTAACTTAAATAAAATTTTTAGACAACTAAAATACCATCTCACGAGACTTGGTATACATACGGATACAAACTGTGTACTCTGCGGAGAGAATGAGGAGTCGGTCACACATGTGCTGTTAGAATGCCCCGCGTTAATACACAAACGGAATAGACTCCTGGGAATGTATATGCTTACGAAAGAGGTAATAAAACTCTGTAAAGTAGGTCTATAGGGCTTAAATATCTACTCAAAACGCAGAAGGGGGCACAATAGACCCGACAGTCGCAGTACCACATCCATTAACAATAATAATAATAATAATAGTTTAACGCCTATATAATTATCGTTTGGTCATAGTGTTTCGTTTCACTGGGAGAACAGGACTCTGTCAAATTCAATTCTAACAACCGTATTATATAAATATTTTCCACACCTATTTTTAAATCTATAATTATTATTATTATTGTTATGGGATCTGGCCTCCTTCTAGGTTTATAGTAGATCTCTAATCCCTGTTGCGTCAATAAAAATTGGTATAGAACCTACTTTACAGAGTTTTAATGCCTCTTTCGTGAGGATGTAAATCTATTACACCTAAAATACTGGATAATAAAAATCTATTTACTTTAATATTTTCAATACTTTTCCAAATTTTGAGCTCGGACCCAATTAAAATGGGATATCCAGCAACAATATATGTTGAGAAGGAGAGTATAAATGTTGTTAAATTCTATTCTAACAAACACATTATATTGTTCTGTTTCTAAATCTTTTTTAAATCTCAAGAATTGGATAATAAAAATCTATTCCAATTTGATTTTTTAAGTCAATTATGACGAATTACAACAACAAAATTTTATTATTTTTAATTAATGGAATTTTCGATTGATCATTGGATTAATGGTAAATACACATTATCAGTGGTCTTTTTGGAAATATTTCTTAAATTTAATTTTTCGTAAATAGATTTTTGAGAGTGCAAGCAACAAGGGTTGAACTCGTGCTCTGCCAAATTTGAACCTCAGAGTCAGTGTTAATTATCCAACTGACCCAAAGCCG